GCATATCGCCCGTTGCACTCTCAGTTCTTGTCTGTTTGCCCTGAAACCTTGACAGAACTAATCTACGTACGATTTTGCAGGCGCAGGGACCTTGGTAGAATTAATTTCTCGACTCTAATACATTGATCGGGTATTTATGAACCTATTTAGCATAACATTTATAACGGTCGAGGTACTTCAATTGCCCTTCCAATTTTTTGCACAATTCCAACCCATGACAATTCCGCAGGTGCACCCGTATTTGAAATTGGTGAGGGTGCAGCTATGTGCCTCCGTATGCGTGCCCAAACGGGATGGGTCACATGCACGTGAAGATAAGCTCAGAGTTTAGCTGCAATGGAAGGCCTCGAGTTATTAGATAACTCATGCCGCTTCACACATCTCCTCGACGCCTTCCACATGGTGAATTTGACAATTATCAAGGACGAGGATGCTGTGCTTCGCAGGATAGGGATTCATAACCGCTAGCATACCTTCGAGCCACAGCATAAACTGGTCCCCATTGTAGCCGCCCTCTTTGATATGACTGAATATTATACCTTCTATTGTGATCGCTGGCAACAGAGAATACCTGAAAGAGCATGTCAATAAACGTCGAAATGAATACTGAAAATTAGACCTGGTACCACGAACGAAACAGCATCTCTTGCGGGCACAAAGGCCTTTATGAGACCAGCCATTACGGCGATACGAAGGCAGATTCATCCGCACAAACTATGTGATCTGCAGGTTCGTCTCCAATCTGCATTAAGAATTCGTGTCGGGCATGCTCGCAGTGCTCAGCAGCATGTCTGGAGAGCTGTCCAGAGCACAAAGATTTGGTCAGTGAGTATCAACAGATATGGCACACACACCTGCTTCGACGACATGCCCAGTCGTTTCATCGTCCAGGAGATTGTGGCCAGAGAGACATCGACATCGTGCTGGACATATAACTGTTCTTGGATCTCGTCGAGGTAGATGTCTGGTGTATGGTCGACGAGCACGAGCATAAACTAGTGGAACGGCAGACAATTAGTTTGAGCGAGGGAAGCTGGACATGACTGACCTTAGTTTGACTTTGAGACATCATGGGGGAGCGTCCGAGATATCTGCGGTCACGGCAGACCTCCCCAATCTCGCGCCATGTTCTCTTGACTCGCTGGACTACACGGAGCGGCATGTCGAGATCTATGGCTATCTCTGTTGATGTCTTGCCCAGAGTGTAAGCCTGATAGATGACATGGTTCTTCAAGTCCTTGAAGTAGTGCTTGTGGATGGGAGTCGCCTTCTTCTTGCGCGGCATCGCTGATGGTGGTGGTTAAGAAAAGATTTTTCCTCACATTACAGTGTTACTTCATGTGCATGTGACCCATCCCGTTTGGGCATGCATACGGAGGCACATAGCTGCACCCTCGCCAATTTCAAATACGGGTGCACCTGCGGAATTGTCATGGGTTGGAATTGTGCAAAAAATTGGAAGGGCAATTGAAGTACCTTGACCGTTATAAATGTTATGCTAAATAGGTTCATAAATACCCGATCAATGTATTAGAGTCGAGAAATTAATTCTACCAAGGTCCCTGCGCCTGCGAAATCGTACGTAGATTCGTTCTGTCAAGGTTTCAGGGCAAACGGACAAGAACTGAGAGTGCAATGGGCGATATGCTGAAAACGATCAAAATCATCCATTTTTGGAAAAAAAAAAATGTGCGCGCCCTGAGTTCCGCAAAGAGCAGTAACGTGTCCGAGTCACAGGACTAATTCCAGTGTAGAAATCCAAGGTTGAAAGATATTTAGATTGGTAGCAGGCTGTGCCACTTGTCGGCCCTACCCACTTTATACGGGTCTTAGAGAGCCTGATTTTTAGATTTTGGCCGTGCATCACATGCTCATCAGCAGTTCTTGCGTAAGCACATATCCTGCCTACTTAGTGATGTCGCGGGCTCGGCCCAGGCCCGCATGCCGAGCCGAGCTGGGCCCGGGCTTGGTCAAGCCGAGCCGAGCCCGACACAAGGCTTTGGCGGGCTCAGGGCTCGGGCTTGAGGGATGCCAGGCCCTGCCAGGCCCTGCCAGGCCCGGCGAGCCCGGGCCTAGATATATATATTTATTTTCCCGGCGCGCTTGCTGTCTCCTTCTAGCCGCCGTTTCAGTAAATTCGGCACAGCGTTGTGAGAAAGCATTTAAGTAACGATCAGAGCCCGCTGTCCTCGCTCTCCCCGTCGACCCTATGTGAAAAGCTCCTTTAATTCTGACATCCTGCCTTTCAGACTCGGATCCCCCTCTCGCATCTCCCTGGAAATTTCATTCCTCTCCCCGTCAACCCTATGTGCAGCAAGCTCCTTTAATTCTGACGTCTTGCCTTGCAGCCATCATCCATGCAAGACTCGGATCTGCCTGTCACTGGAAATTTCATTCCTCTCCCCATCGACCCTATGTGCAGCAAGCTCCTTTAATTCTGATGTCCTGCCTTCCGTTTCCTCTGAGCAGGCGTTCTCCTCGGCCGGAATTACGATTAGCAAGCGCCGTAACCGTTTGAAGGGCGATGTTGTCGAGGCACTGCAGTGCTTGAAATGTTTCATTCGCAAAGATCTCCTGTTTCACGAGCCGGTGATTTTCAAGGAGGGCGAGGCTGGGGAGGAAATTGGCGCGAGTAAGGAACCGACGAGTTGGGATATTTTGATAGACGATGACCCAGATAATTACGAACTTCTTCCTGCCTTACCTTCTACAGACACATAATTCGTACATGTACAATCTAGCATAATGGCTTTTTTTTTGGCTATCAAGCCCGGGCTTGGGCCCGGGCTCAGGGCTTCAGGCCCCAGGCCCAGGGCTCGGGCTCGGGCCTGGGGAATTTGAGGCCCGAGCCTCCCCAAGCCGAGCCCAAGCCCGGGCATTCAGGCCGAGCCGGGCCCGCGACATCACTATGCCTACTAAAATATTTCGGCTTACCCCCGGCCGCTGCTCATGCCGATCGGTGTGTGTATAATCATGCTTATGCCCCCTAACGAGTCTCGAAATACTACTGATCCAGACATCTTAATTTAACCGGGATTACTCTGAAATATATGTGGGACATCCATTCGACATAGGTGAACTGTACTAGAACATTCCTACATGATCCAGGGAGCATTTGAGCCCAGAATAAATGGATTTTGATTGAACTGATCTCGCCAAATTCTCATGTTTTTTTTTTGCATAAGTATGTACTATTTGTGGCTACTTCGCTGCGGTCTCAATTCTGCCATAGAAAAATGAAGCTTGGAATTCAACATTTTCATATGCTGATACCTCATGCAAAACCCGAACCCCCAGAAACCATTTTACAGCAGTAAGCTAACGATAGTAGACGGCTTCTCTTGTCATTCAGAAATCAGTACGACTTCATCTTCTGCACTGAGGTCGGTTATATATTGAATAGGTGAGATTGTAAGCAGTTAAATTACTACCTGATCTGTGGCCCAGTGGGAACTTCTCAGCTTGCGCGTCGACCGGGCAAGGTTTGGCCGCCCTGGTGGATGAATTGAGGAGTGAGCTGGGCCCGTCATTTTTCGTTCCCTGACATTTAATTGTGGCATGAATCGGAGTCTCCGAACGGAGAGATAGAATTAAGTAAATTTATAACCTGTCTGCGGCCCAATGCGAGCTCTTTACAGCCATTGACAGTACCGAAGGCGCGGATGAAAAATTTCCTGTTTAGGATGTTTTTCGAAAAATTCCCCAGATCTCAGTCAGTTTGGCACAGATTCAGATGAAACCTAGCCAGATCTTTCAGGTTAATTCATACGCAATTAGTGATAGAAGGAAATTTGCAAAAATACTTTATATTGATTGGCCTGTGATTTCGGACTGTTTCCGCGATAAATGATGTCTAGCACAGTTCAAACATGTTCAAATGAGTTGATTATTTGCAACAGCGAACTAACATATGTTTAGAAAGATGTCATAGAGCCAGAATTCCAGAAAATTTAGTCTATGATGCCTGTAATCCCGTCTGGACAATGGGCAATCCACTCTGATCTCGAAATATTATGGGAATTGAATGTAACCATGAACTTTATGAAGTTATGGCTCTATGACATCATTCATAAACCACGTAAGTCTTTTGTCTCACAAAACCAGGCCATTTGAACAAGTTCCAGGCTTGCTAGAGGGTATCCAACACCCAAACAGCCTGGAATCCAAGATTATCCACTATGAAATATTTTGACAGGTTTCTCTCTATCAATAATTCCGCATGAATTAGCCTGAATTATCTAGCATTATTTCATCCAAATCCATGAAGAACTGACCGAGATCTAAGGAATTCTTTGAAAACATCCCAAACAGGAAAATTTTCATCCGCGCCTTCGGTACTGTCAATTGCTGTAAAAATTATTTCGGTTGGCGCAAGAAAGGTAAAATAATGTCAGCATGGTAGCGGGCCGTGCCGCTCGTCGGCCCTACCAGCTTTATATGGAATCTTGCACGCGGGTCTCACGCTCGCTATAGTCAAGACCAAGGCAGACCAGAGTAATCAATTCTGCCTGGTATAGTTTCTTGATAGTTTCGGACAATAGTGACTACGGACCGAAACACCGAGGCTCAGCGGGGAAGGTTGAAGTGACAGGTCATCACGACGGCTCTCACAACTTTTTTCAAATACGTGAGCGTCGAAAATGAATATGAATGAAGCTAAACTTCCAGAGGATAGCAAATGCCACCCTCAAGACGTTTGCGAAATGGAAAATCTTTAACCCCCTGCCGCTACAGCTCACATTGCACGGCTCTCTGACTTGACCCAGAACCGGAGGTCCTCCAGACGAACAACGAATCAGATCTCTCGAAAAACGCTGCATCTGTTAGCTGTGTACCGTGTGCCTTGATCCCCACAAAATCCTTCTTCAGCCTCACGGTGCTGTAAAGAACATCCTGTTGATTCTACGCCAAATATTCCCTCGCTCGGAGATCGGACAGACAGACTTGGAGCCCGCAAAACAACGAAACAACAAACAAACAAATCGAAAGGGCATGGGTTATGGCTCGACCCGATTCGAACGGGGGACTTCCGTACATATGCAATGGTGCTCGATTGAGAGCGGAGTCGTAATCGCTACGCCATCGGGCCGCAGGTGACCAGGGCCAGTCTTATATCGTCGATGTCCCATCAACAGAGGTCGACAGCGGCACAACTCCTGCCATCGCTGTCACAACTCCTGCCATCGCTGTCAATCTGCTTACTCCCGCCCACCTAAAAGCTTAAGCGATGTATGAATATATGAGAAGCGGATGTATGTATGAGTATATCAAAGCGAGACAACGACGGACAAACGGGCAAATGTGTAGGTGCGTATGGATGTGTATGTATGTATGTACATACGATGGATGGACGAACGAAAGCGAGCGTAAGTTCGATATCTGGAGGAGGGTGCGTTAGTTAGGTAGGTTGGGAAAAGAGGAAGAGGGGTAAAAATGGAAGACGAATGAAACGCCAAAAAGAGAGTGAAAGGTGTAGAAAAATGGGCCGACAATGCAAACGCAGGTACAAGTGCAGCGCAGAACCGCAGCCGATCACAGAAGAAGGAAGGCGGTCGCGCAGGGCACAACATCGGAAGACGACAAGGGGAAAATACGCGAGATGCACAGCACAAGGCGCATGCTTCAGCAAACGCGTGTGGTAAACATGGCTCGTAAACGACGGGCGAGGCTCAAAAACCAACACCTGACACATCAAGCGCAGGGACACTCGACACGGAGCGCGTCTGGCGCGCAAAATCCCCCAGCCACAAAGAAGCAAATGCGAAGAATGATGAAGGAACGAAGGACTCACCAGAACGTCTCCTCCTCCTCGTTGACGATACCCTCGCCCTCGGGGACCTCGAAGCCTTCCTGAGGGGGTGGTTAGCCGTGTTTCAGACAAAGGGAGCAAAATTTGGACAATGGGAAAATGAAAGAGAAGACGCAAAAAAAGGGGAGGACGAAAGGAATAGGGAAGGGGAAACAAGAGGGAGCGGGACAAAAGCGAAAAGGGCAATCGAATCGCAAGCTAAAGCGCAGGAAATGGGGCGAGAAAAGGCGCGAATTTGTCGGGCCAGCGCCGACCCGTCAGAGTAAGGGCGAGGCGCCGTCAGAGTAACACGGGCGGTGATGCGTACGAGTGGCGCTGGCGGCGATCGTACACCCGCGGAGAAGCAGGTGGCATGTGGGATGGTACGAAAAAGGAGGATGGAACGCGATGGAACACGATAGAAGGAGTGAATTGTGGCATCGCCAGCTCGGGGTGAAGAAAGAAGGAACGAGAAGCACAAAGACGCACCTCGGTGCTATACAAGATCTTTTGGATCTCGCGCAACGTCTCGTCGTCCTGCCCTGCCCCCTCGAGCGTCTCCATCTTCTGCTGCACCAGAACCTCGATATCGCGCAGCTGACCAATCCACCTCAATCAGCCTCGCCTCTCATGCACAAAAATGCGCAGGGACGCACTTTCTCGAAATAAAAGTCGCGTTCCTTCTCGAGGCTCTCCAGGTGGGTGGAGAGCTCGCGGACCTGGGCGTTCAGCGCCTGCACAACCGCGCCGTTCGGTGTGGCGGATCGATGCCCGCTGACCGGCGTGCGCCCTCCCGCACTGCGCGCTGCCGCATGTCCCGCTCCTGCCCCAGCCGCGCGCACGGGCGCCAAAGTCGCCGGTGGGTCCCCTGGCGCGCCCTTTCGCCGTGCCACTGCATCGTATTCACCCCCGGGGTAGTTCGCATCCCAGAAGCGCTTCAGCCACTGCAGGAACTCGAGATTGTCCCTTGCGAATGTGGCATTCCATCAGCCCGATTTTTTTTCGCGATGTGACGTCGACTCACTGCATCTTGCACTTGATGAGCTTCTCGACTGGGATGGGGTGGTCGATCTTCTTGGCCTTGAAGATGTTCTGCATGATCTTGTAGTTTGCGACGTACTCGTACTCGTGCTTTGCGGCCATTTTGACGCGGGCCATAGGGATGTCGAGGTAGATGGAGTCGAGGACCTGCAAGTATGCCCCACCAGCGCCGCACTGCTCGACCTTGGTATAGTTGATCTGCAGCAGCTCGTTGAGCCAGGCGACCAGCTCCGTGCGCGATGCCGCGGCCATCGTGGAAAGGTAGGGAAGGTGTGTCACGAAGTCACTGTCACGTGTGACGCGCCATGTGCGGTACCACCATGCCTTTTTTTATTCTGGTTCTTTCCCGTGGAGTACATATGCTGGTGCATCGCTCGGTCTCATCCATTTAAAGCCAAAATAGCTTGTCGTCTGGAATGCGCAGAGTCTTCCCGAGCCGAATCCCACACTTCCTGCCTCAAGCCACTTGGCCCCTCGGCCAACCTTCGGCCGACTTGTGCGATGTCGGCTGCGACATGCCAACCCAGTCGAGCCCTCGGCCAACCCTCGGTCAACCTCAGCCGACATCGCACAAGTCGGCCGAGGGTTGGCCGAGGGGCCAGCAAAATGTAGTGAAGCTTTCAGATTTTTCAATAGACGGATTTCTTCGAACGGGGATTTACCCAAGGACCTAGCTAGGCGAATATCCGCTCGATGGTCGATGGGACCGTGCCTTCAGATCAGCACCGTCTCCAATCTTATAATGCAAGTCACCCGTTCGGCTCAGGATCGAGTCATACCATGGACTTTAGATTTATTTATTTATTTCGTCCTTCCTCTCGGCGCATTCTCGGTTCTCGCCGCACGATCCCCGCCTTATACTGCCCGTGTAAGCCATTTCCCATTTGTCCCCAGTTCATACTAAACTTAGGCTCCTCAAACTCATTCGCAGATAATTGAAATCAGGTCGATGGCGGCGAGACCGCGCTTGTTCGGAATATTCAACAAATGGTGGCAGTATCGCTGGTCACCCGTTGGACTAATCTATGGGTAAGGTATGTGCAATACGACTGGTTTTTTCATCATTTTTTTCTCGTTTCTGACAGAAACCTCCATCCGAAGCCGCTTCATGTCCTCTTCTCCAACTTTGTTTTCAGCCTCTTACGTCCCAATAGACGCTTCAGGACTAACTTGCTCTTCCAAGCCTGCTACAACGAAGAAAGTATGGGGGCACCTTCCAGGACCACACATTCATGTTCAATTTCACGCGTACACCAAAATCGTACAAAATCAAGAAATAGCGATGTCAGCCAAAGAGCTTTCAGTCAGATCCAAGTCGTAGCTTTCAGTCGGCCCTTGTCAGCGCAATATTTGTACCGTGGTTGACATATACGCACGTCGTTGGGACACTCGTTTGGTGTAGCCCAGAGATCAAGAGCGGCACGCCGCCGATTCCATCGATGGTGAGGGCGCTAAACAACCAAGACAAAATGGTAAAACACAGCAGAAATAAAACAAAAGGTACGGCTACGGACCGGACGTTGACGTCGACGTTAATAAGATCGAGCACGCCGAAGGGGATGATCGCGAGGGAGGCGGTGGCGCCTTGGGTGAGGAGGACGTTGGTGATGTTTCCGGAGTTGGCCTGGCCCAGGGGCCGCACGATGACAGGTTTGGGGAAGTTGTGCTCGAAGGAGGCGAAGACAGTGCCGTTGAGGCCGGCCTGGGTCGATACGCTGTCGAGAGTCAATTCGAAGAGCAGGGGGTTCTGCGCTGCGGGGCCGTGAGGAATAATCGCAGGCAGCAGAAATGCCAATGCCAACCTTCGAAGTCGATGCTAAAGCATGATAGAAGTTATGGGTCAGTTCAACTGGGATGTGGTGCTGACCCACGTAACGAGGTTGTCTTCCAGCGTCTCGAGCTGAAATGCATTGATCAATACCGTGCCTTGACCGGGGAAGAGAACATGAGAAATTCACAGTGAGGGTGACGTCGATGTGGGTGACCAAACCGATTCCCAGGGCGTCGATGATCTCACCCAGGAGATCCCGTTTCTCGAGCGCGTCCGGGGCGGGCACGGCGCTGACGAGGAGTGCTGCGAGAAGGCCGAAGAGAAGCGACTGGAGAGGTAGCATGTTTGTTTTTTCAGGAACCAAGAGGGGAGAACAGGCCACCGAGATCGAGCGTTGGGCTGCATATTTATACAGGTGGGCTTCGTTGAAATCAGCAGAAAGGAAGACCTTGTGAGGGCCGAACCATGTGTGCGTGGGGGGCAGCTGACCAGAGATTGGCACTGGATGCCGGAGGCGGAAACTCCGGCAGCTGTCCGGATCCTGAGTTATAATTAGTGGGTCCCACCAGTGAGGAGACATACTCACGGAGAGTAGGACTCAGTTGAAGTTGAACGTTCCTTGAACATGTAACCATCGAGAAGGACATCCAACCTCAAGCCCAGCGTTGTGCCAACCGTTGGATAAAACTGCCCGAGTTCGGTTCGAAATTCCAAGGGAGCCCATCACTCGACTCCCGCTCTAAAACCACATCCGCATTGGTATCGAATTCTTCCGCCGCAGTGGCTTGTGATTCTTGCAATTGAATGCTTCGGCAGAGCGTACTATCCGTCCGTTCCAAGAAATTACGAGGCCGGAAGATGATGAAAGGAACGAATGAGATATGGAGGACGGAAGCAAAAACACGCAGCGTGCCTTTTTGAAAGCAAAAAAATTCGGAGTCTACAAAGGGCAAAGAAGGAGATGGATGCAATGCAACGACTAAGGGTGCGTTGCAAATCAATGAGTCACAAATGCATGTCCTCCAATTCCACGACAGGACCGGGGCTGGTGATGCGCTCAAACGCGAACTGGGAATCTCATAGCGCCTAATATTGCTGTGCTCAGCTCCTTAGCTTTGGAAAGGACGTAGGACCCGGATGGTAAAATGACATTCCTCGACCGGGTATAGCTGCAAGTGTCACTGTGAAGCAAGCTCGAACGTCAGCGTGCCTCTTCGGAAGCAAAGAATGAGAAGAAGAAGGAAGACAGGGAAGGACGTGGATGCAGAACTTAGGTGATGCGCGAATGCGAATGAATGATGCATAAGTGTACAATAGCAATTTAGCCAAAGTGACGCTTTGAGTCCCGCCACGTTGAGTCTCGTCCCGGTCTCGAAGTCGAAGTTGAGTCGAAGAAAGTCAAAAGAAAGTTAAGCCAGGAGTGCTTTCAAAGTGTGTCAGTGTTGATTCCCTACCTGTGTGTGGGCCCACACAGCAGAAGACTTGAACA